GGGGAGTTCATGACGAACCCTACCGGCCGCAACGTAGCGTATGAAACGCTGTCAGGGCCGATGGTAGCCTGGTGGATTTCGTGCAGAAGGGTCCCCTATTCTGTCCGGTCTTTCATGGAAGTTGTATTTTCTAGCAGCTGCCTAACCGCAAGGCAGATGTGACATTGGCGGCGTTTTTCTTCAAAAAGGGTGGGTCGCTCTCGCCTCGGCATAAGACTGTATTAGGCATTGTGACCTTTTTTCTAAGGAAAACACTTGTCGAGGTCGAAGCTAGCCACACCCTGATGGTCTCACCGCTTCCTGGACGTCACTGCTCATTTGTCGCGCCTTACCGTTATATCTGAAGGTCGTTCCCCTCTCCGCAAAACGGGAACGTGCCGGATGGCCAGCAGGTACGGACAATGGCATTCTGGGTTTACCGGCGGTTTGCCTAGATAGATTATTACTCGCACCGGCAGTCCAAAACTAGCTGTTTGCTTGTAAACCGGGAATTGGAACAATAGTGTTTTATGCGGAAATTCACTTCTATATTCGAAAAGTCCTTTGCTGAATACACTACCTATCGAATTCATTATATACCTAATCTCCAGCATTGCAGATCATGTTCGATCCATCTTCAGGGAGACACACATCATAAAAGACTTTCTTTCGAGCATTATCCGACACGTCAGAGAATGCTGTGTAATAAATTCTATAAGCGTGTATTCTTCCAAGAACTTTTCAAATGATCGCATTAAAGACTCTAGTTTGGATTCTGGGTTTACCAGCAAAATTGCCACTTTTTCGATACCACCGGTGAGTAACGGTAAGAATATCGTAAGGCAAACCGGTTCTGATTTTTGTTCATATATGTACAAAAATTAACTCCGGTGTTCCGGGTTTACTGGCGGCACTCCTTCAGCTAATCGCGCTTCAGGCGGAGTCTTAGTAGGTTTCTGTTCTACGCTGCAGTTTGGTGCGTCCTTGCACCCGTGCACCGCAGGTTCTACAACATCCTGAAGCCTTGACCTTCGTACATGTTTCCTAGGCTGCTAGAAGCAATGCAGAATTACTACATAAGCATCATTTGAAACAAAAAATATGTACACGCCACCGTCAACACCACTATAGATTGAAATTAATTCGCACTTCAGTCTCTGCCAGTATGGAATGAAGCTGATCTGCTTTTTAATCCAGAGTGGCTTTACCTCATTGGGGCCTAAGCCTCAGCCTACATCAAAGCCGTCGAGTTAACTTAGTCATGCAGACTACGATGTTGAAGCTTGGGTATGGGGTTAAGCTTAGCAAAAATTCTCTCTGACCGCTGCATTACCGGCTTGCACTGAATCGCAAGTCAGGTTCGCTCCATACTGGTATGGACGGATTATCGCTGTGGACGGTAACACATGTCCTAACAATTCGATATTGGGTTTTCGTATATTAAACCTTGAATATCAGAATTAACTCTTGCATATATACCTTTCAGTTATAATATTTGAGCACATTTTTTTTCAATCAATCAGTGGAAACAGGATGATGCACTGATTCTCGTTACTTCCGCTAACTTAGCGTCTCGTCGGCGACGATCAATTCATAGCTTTCCTTGTCATCGTTTTAATTTCCGTTTGGCCGCTTGTCATGAGCATATTACTGGAGTACTCTGGTTTCTTTACGGTGATTTATTTTTGTCCAGGACATGGTCGGTTTTCGCACCTGTGTATTGTTCAAGAGCGGAA